GTGAAACAAACTGAAATATTATAGAACACTAAATTCATCTGCATGCTAAACTGAAATATATTTAAATTTTAAACACCATTGAGTTATAGAGAACTCTAATGGTGCAATCCTGTAGATGTATACTAAAAAATAAATCTCACTGGGTCTTACTCCCAAGTAAATGGGTGCAAGACTGCAGCCTAATGCTGAGTAAACATAGTTTAGAGTGTGCTACACATGCCACTGTTTGTCAACATCATATTTCAGTATTTATTAGATTTCTTTCCTTTGTTTCAAATATAATTTGATGGCAAATACATATAGTAGGTATCTGGCAAATGTTCAACAAACATTACAGGAATTTCTACTGATTCTTCAGCATTTATTTTACAACATAAAATGACAGATTAGGAGATGGGAAGAAATCCACTCTCCTAATACAAGTACTTGTAGGAATTGTTTGCATTTTGCTTTGATCCTTTCTATCAGTTTATGTCAATAAAGCAGGTATGAGAATAATGTGGTTTATCAGGAGTAAGCCTCAATGAAATCAGTGAGACTTCCTTTTGAGTATATATGTCGCTGATTGTACTGTTAGCTTTTCCATTAAGATCTAATAATAGTACAAATAATTCCTGCATATCATTGCCTGTTCTGAGTAGGACATATAGTAGCTGGACTAACCATGTCTGGAGGGTCACACATTACCTACTCTCACAATAAAATGGATGGGCATGCTCCAGAGGCAGCAGACAATTTTTAGCTTCTCTAGATAGATGACAATATGCTATTACAGCTGCCGTATGGGTCAACTGGAAGTGCCACTGTGCCAGGGTGCAGTCTTATTTTTTCCGGGTGGTGGACTCTCTAAAAATGCATTGTAGGAATTGCATTTTTGTTTTTAGTTTAGTGAGCTTTTCCCAGCTCGAAACTGGAGCTTGAGGCCAAAATTATGGGGACGTCCTGAGGTCTTACAGGGTCAGTAGGGGTCCCAAATGCAGTTTTGTGAGATATTTAACTTTTTCTGTCTGAGAGTTCTGGTGCCAGAACAAATTGCAAATATAAGAATGCCATAGCATTGAGCCATGCAATTAAAGTGGTATCAAACTGCATTATTTCTGTAGTGCAGATGCAGTCATGGTGTCATGCCCATAGAAATATACAGAGCAAGCCAGCTGCTTTATACTACACTGTCCCATTGATAACTAGTAGCTCTCCTAGGTTGCCAACAGAGGTCTTTTCCAAATGCACGAGAAAGTGCATATAAACCATGTGCTCCAGCATTCACTATGCCTATCCTAGCATAATGTGTTGCTTTCCATGTGATTAGAGCTAACTATAAGGGTTTTCTTATGTATTGTTGATGAAGTAAACATTTCTGGGATCCAGAATTAGCTATCAGAAAGCTTATGACTAACATCACTCACATCTGACTTTCAGGGGTCCTAGTCTACAAAATGCTTCAGTACACATATAATAATTCTAGATCAGCCTTAGGCAAGCCATCTATCTGACACCTTTTTCTAATGTTACTATCATTTATTTAGTGCCTTTTTTCATTATGGAACTAAAAACATACTTCTAGGTTCAAGGCACTGAACAAATTCAGACCTGTAAGGCTGCTAAATGATCTTAAGGCATACCTTATTGAACGCCAGTTTCCATAACCCTGAATCAATCAATGGCCATACTATTTGGGCCTTATATGAGTTAAAAGTCTAACAATAACTAAAGGCCCATTTGAATTACTTAATAAAAGCAGAAATTCAAGAAGTACAGCATTTGAATCCCTATGTTTTTATGAACAGTGGAAAAGACCTTTTCTGTGATATTGCTTCCATTTCCTGCCATAGATTCTCTCATTTGGCCTTGGGCATGTCACTGTCTAGACAGCTTTTCATGTGTTTTATCTTCAGAAAAGAGGGATAACGTATTCTAAAAATTCATCCTCGGTGATGACAACCTTTCACATGAGGTAAATTCATTACAATGCAGAAAAGGTCAAAGAAGCCAGCCACCAGATAGATTTTGAGTGCCTTACATTGAGCAAATCAAGAAAGAATATAAGTACAGGAAAGAGTTGGAGATCTCCTTTCATGATGCCCAGAAACCATGAACATTCAGAGATAAAACTAGCACTTTAATGAAGTGTATTTTTGCTCTTGTTCATGACAGAATAATAGAGTTGGCAAGGATTCCAAGGGCCATCCAACCTCCATTTAAAGATCTCCAATGAAGAAGAGTCCACCATCTGCCAACACAGTCTATTCCACTGTTGAATAGTTTTTACTCTCAAGACGCTTTTCCTAACATTTAGGTGAAATGTTTTAGTCTCTGGAGCAGCAGTTAATATTTTGTTTATTTATTTAAGATATATCCCACCTTTTTCCCAAGTAGGATTCAAGGCTTGCTTCCTCTTCTACATGGCATCCCTTCAGATATTTAAAGATGGCCATCATATAATCAGTCCAGAAGCTAACTTCCTAAGGTATTGTTCATATGTTTGGAAACCAAGCCCTTTTATCTTGATCACGCTCTCCTGGACAGGTTCCAGCTCTTCAATATCCTTCTTGAGCTGTGGTGACCAGAAATGGCCACACCATTCTGGATCCCTGTTGTTGTTGTTGTTGTTGTTGTTGTGTGCCTTCAAGTCATTTCTGATTTATGGTGACCCTAAAGCAACCCTATCATGCCATTTTCTGTGGCTGACAGTGTATGAATCACCCATCACCCTGTGGGTTTCCAAGGCTAAACAAGGAATTGAACCTTGATCTCCAGAGTCGTAGTCTAATGCTCAAACAACTACACCATGCTAGTTCTCACACTGGTTAAAAAATGGTCAAAGCTTGGAAAAATTACTTTGTAACTTTGCAGCTCTCAAAATTATTCAACTACCATGGACATCACCACAAACGTGGTCAACTTTAGAAGATTAGACCAGGGGTAGGCAACCTTTTTGAGCCGGGGGCCGGATTGCTGTCCTTCAGACAATTGGGGGGCCGAAGCACCAAAAATAAATAAATAAATAAATAAATAAATATTAAAATTATTTTTTTAAAAAATTAAAAATTAAAAAAATATGTGTGCACACTCTCTCAGCCCCAGAAAAGATGTGGCAAAACCCCTGTGGAGATTTTGCCAAGAAAACCCCAAGAACAAGTAATAACAACAATAATCAATATCATCATGGTGGGTGGGGGGGGGAAGGCGGCGGTGGCAGGAGGACCAGCCTGGGGCCGGTCCAAAGGCCTCGGGGGGCCGCATCCAGACCCCAGGCCTTAGGTTGCCTACCCCTGGGGTGAAGCATCTGTTTCTCAGACAGCTAAAGATCAGGTCTTGTATCAGGCCTACAAGTGCTGCAGTCTCTCTGACTTTGGGCTGATTACTTTCTTTCTTTTTTTAAAAAAAAAAATTCTTCCCTTTTTAAAGCAAAGATGATTTGCAAGTAGGAAAGAAGGATATAGAGTCAACTCTCCATATACAGTTTCTTTATCCACAGATTCAATCATCTA